CAAATGAATGTCTTCAATTGTAGCGTCCTAAAATCATGAAAATATTTTTTCTTTCTTTTATTTTTTTTAAAGATTTTTGCTATAGAATGTGCATGCCAGAGAGAGAGAGACCAAAGGGGAGGGAGTGAGAAATCATATGACCATGCCATAATCCCTTCTCCAACAGTCTCTCTTTGGGAATTTGGGTGCACACATACACACACACACACACACACAACACACACACACACACACACACACACACAGTGTAATTTTCAAGCCACCAGTACTCGAACCGCTAAATCGGCCATGAGGAATCTAGCCCCTTAACTGCCATGCCACCTGCCTGCCCTCCATAAAAACATTTTTAATGTGCCTGTTTCTTTGTGTCTTTTTGCTATTTTCTCTCACATGGGCATTATCACTCTATATATCTCTGACCCTCTCTGCAAGTGTATATGGCCTCTGCCCTCCCCCCCAAAAAAAGGAAAATGCATATTATGAAAAATCTTTATGTGGATTTTGGACATTTTTCCAAAATAAATTTACCCTTTAATTCCTTTTCCCACAGACTTTCTGAAATTCTTTTGTATCGTGCCACATGGGTAACATTTCCTTTTTCCTAGCTACTCCTTTAATTTTTTTGCAAAATCATTCTTCTGGCATTTATTGATTATGGTGAAAGTCAGACACTGAGTGTGGCAGAGCAGCTCTAATGCAGCAACCAAATCATAAGTTACCTCGGAGCCACTGCACACGAGTCCCCTCAACCATTACTGCTACTAACCCTGACACGTGTGCTATTTAAGCAAGAGATGGCTAAGAGACTGACCAGACTACAACAGTTTCTTTATGAGATCTTTTCTACCTACTCCTCTTCAGTTATTTTGCTTTAAAATAATTAAATTATGGAGCCAGCAGTTTGCATGGTGGTGAAGGCATTGAACTCTCATACAGCTTACTTTACAGTTTGAGTCCCAGATCTGGTGGCTTGAAAAATCACACCAGGCGCATGTGCATGTGTGCACAAAATCTCAGGAGGACAATAGAGAAGAAGGGATTGCAGTGTGGTCAACTGCCCATGGGGTGATTTCTTACTTTCCCTCTTTTTGTCTCTCTCTGTCTTCAGCAAACTTATGTGTTCTATGGCAAAAACTAAACTAAACTAAACTAAACTACTCAAAGTACTTAGTCTAAATGGCAGTGGCCCCAAAGGAACATTATGCTTAGTTCTTATTAAGAAGCAATACCTGGGCAATGCGGGCTGAGAGAATGATCACCCTAACTTTAAACTCCTGATATAAGTCCCTTTAACAAATAAAAGCTTTGCATTAAGTTCTTCTAGATGGTGCAACTGCTGTACATTTGTTGCTGTGTTTTGGTTGCTTTAAAGGAATCTTCCAATTTAGGAAAGGCACAAACACAGGCCAGGCCCATCCTGAGGTGAATACTGAACTTAAGCTGTGAAATATTGCTTTACTTGACCAAAAATAAAAAAAAAAATTCTGCTGAGACTTCCCCCTCCAGATTCATTTCTAGAAGGGAGGGCTACCTCTGTCTCCTCTCCATTTATCTCTGTGTCTCTCTGACTTGCTGTGTCTCTCTGTGTCTTTTAATTTTTAAAAAAATTTAAGGTAAACTATTCCACTGTGTGGTTTTCATTTTTTACTTTTTAAAATTAAAATTTAATGTTTTTTAATTTATTCATTTATATTCATTCATTGTACATCATTACAACATACAAAATGAGATTTTCCATCCAGAGTACACTGTACATTGTCTCAATCAAGCACATCAACATACTTGTTATTGTCAACAAATGATTTTTCATTTCTTGTTTCCTGTATGTTTTGCTTTTTTCCCCCATCCATGATTCCCTATCTCTCTTACCCTCTGCCATCTCCCACTCTCTTC